AACTTATTTTTTTGTGCACTCTCCAGATTTTAGATATGTTATAGATAATAAAAATATCTACAATATGGCCAAGTTTAAAAAAATTCTAGGGTGTAGTATTTATTTACAGGCCTTTGTTTTGTAATGTTTTGGAATTCTCACTTTAATTATATAAGATTATATTACGCGTATTCGTGTCACCTAACTTTGTCGATGATTTTCTACAACTTATTTTTTGTGCGCTCCCCATATTTTGGATATATTTTAGGCAATAAAAATATCTACAATATGGCAAAGTTTAAAAAAATTCTACAATGTAGTTTTTTTATTTAAAGGCCTTTGTTTGAAAAAGACATGGATATAGGAAGTTAATTATATAAGATTTTATTACGCGTTTTCGTGTCACCTAGCTTTGTCGATGATTTTCTACAACTTATTTTTTTGTGCACTCTCCAGATTTTTGATATATTTTAGGCAATAAAAAAATCTACAATATGGGAAGTTTGAAAAAATTGTACAGTGTAGTTTTTTATTTAAAGGCCTTTGTTTGCACTCTCCAGATTTTGGATATATTTTAGGCAATAAAAATGTCTAAAATATGGCAAAGCTCAAAAAAATTCTACCTTTTAGTTTTTAAGTTATACGCTAATTAAGAGAAATGAAAAGTACAGTGTAACCTAAAGCTTAGTGTTTTCTTCAATTTTTTGAGTTTTATACCTTCTTTGTGTTGTTTAAGGACAGTAAAGTAGTAATAAGTAGTTAAGAATTGTTTTGTACTTTTGTATTTGATAGAAAAAGTGTTTTAAAGACAAAACACTTTGACATTTTGAATGATAAATTTTAGTTGAATGTGGTGATGATCGTTGTGATGAATGTTGTGTTGATTGTGGTGCCCAATGTGGTGCCAATTTCACGGTATTGAATTTTTTCATACACCAAACCTTGTCTAAAATACCGAACAATCAGTTCATCACAACACGTTTCGTTGTCATCTAGGAAGACTGTCACAACATTGTCAGCTCTTGATATAGTAGGTGATTCGGAGCCACACTATGAGCCACACATAACGCTTCTTCGCAAAATGGACAGAACATTACTCCAAACGATAGCAAATTTAAAACAAAAGGCGATAGCAAAGAATTAGAAATCAAAACACACGTGCTCATTCTGAATGAGCCTGCATTAGCTTTGGTGCGTGGTAATCATTTTGCATTGGGTAAACAAGTACTTTGCACTGAAACATTTTAATAAGTTCGTTTTGACTCTTCTGTTTTGCATTTGCGGACTTTGAATTGAGATTTCAATACTTTAGTGCGCTTTGGAAACATTAATTTTGTTTTGTAATATTGAAGTTTGCATCTGAAACATAGATGTTGCATTGAATTTATTATTTTGTGTATTGCACTTGTGGGCCACTGTAATAACATATTCGAACATAGCCTGGTAAGTTGAATGAATAATTAAAGCATGTGCTAGCTTCGTGTTGCCCACGCACTTCTGGAAACGCATGCGCATATTGCGCTCATGTGGAGTCAATGAACTCCAATACAACTGGAAGGGTAACTCATTGAGTTCTATAATAACTGGAGCGGCTATCTCAAGCGCAGCCTTAGATATGTGATGTCGCCAAAAAAATGGCGGATTTCGTCCGTTGCCCCTGAGATTTACCGAAATTGACCGCTTTTCCGAAAATTTCACAATTTCTCACTCACTCCTGAGGAAAGATTGAGGAAAATGTATGTGTGTATTTGGGATTCGGCAAGCAATTTTTTGATGAAAATCAAGGTAAAAACCTTAACTTTATAACAGCGAGTCAATTGTGGTTGTCAGTTATCTGCTCCTACAAAGATGCATTTATAACTATCGACGAAAGAGCTATATGTCGGCTACACATCTATGAATGCAGATGTGCCTCGTTTTCTTACCAGCGTCAAACTTGTTTGATCGATTAAACTCTTTAGTCTATACAAAAAAGTATATCATAGTTCATCTCCACGGTTCACGAGAGACAAGTTAGTTTATTTGTTATCATTGCTATTTTGCTTCTTTTCATGCAATGGGCAATGGCTTTTTTCGCCACAATTGTAGGATTTTTACTTGTTTCTTTAAAAAAGTACATATTAAATCTCTGGATATTTACGGATTTTCTGTAATTGAATTTCATATGAAATTTCAAAAAGACTCAAGTCTGCATAGGTTTGGTAAATGAAAACAAACAATATTGTATAGAAATTACTTTAAGCAACCTTTTTGTGATGTTCTGAAGTGCAACTGCATCAAATACTTGTAAAGTTGTAGCACATTTTGATTTTGTTGTATTGATATATGAATTATGCAAAATGCAAATAATCATCGAAACACTTATGCTTCCAATGGTGTTTATAATTCAATTGTAGTTTTAATACTTCTACTCTTCTTTTTCACTTTGTTTTGTTTTTCCTATATTTGCAATATAAGTGCACAATTTGAATGATTAACACAGTTTTCACCTCATTAATAAATTTCATAAGCAGTTGGTAGTGCATTTTGTTTTCTTATTATCCACATTTGGTGTTTTGTTCATACAAGAATGATGAAGTGCAAGTAGATATGTCATAGCAAGGCAATAAAACCAAATGGTTTAAATACCTATAGTGTACTTTTATGCTAGAAGCTTAAAAGCTTTTTAGAAATTATAAAATTATTGGATTATATTACCATCATCAATCTCATGAAAAGACATAAGAAGCAAAAAATTTGTAGAAAAGCTTTAAAAAGTGAAAAATTGTTCTTTAAAAAAGCAGCAATAATGCATATGATAAATCTTCCTTCTGTACTCTAATAGGTAAATAAGCTCAAACTGTTTCTTAAAGCAAAAACTGCACTAGTCTGCTCTCGAGTTCTCCCAAAGATCTCCTCGGTTTGCATGAGCCCGTGCAAACACAGTAAACATCTTTTATTTCTTAATTGATTTTTTTCATTTTGTACCTCTCTAGTTCAATATATTTTCTTTATAAGTTTTTAGTAGGTTTATCAGGTAATGACTGCATACTTTACATACTATTTTTTCAGTTGACTTTAGTCGTAGGACTATTCTAGGTATTCTACTTCAACCAGTCTGCTATTTCAGTGTGTTACATTTGCTCATTGCAATTTGTGAGCAAATCTTGCAGTGTGTTCTATTATTCACGAAAGAAAAGTTATTTATCTTCAAAACCTTTAGTTTAGGACCTGCTGGCCAATCAAATTGGGAGAGCCAAAGAATTGTTTTCATTCCTTTTTAAATGATACAATAAGAAAACAACAAAATATTCCAAATGTACTTCTTGTCACGGTCACCCTTATGCTGCGAACTGCAAACAACGATATTTTTGTGAGTATACCTTAGGATATTCCTGACGAAGGTAAACTTTGTCACCCTTTAAAAAAAACAATGAAGACATATCTTTCGTTATTCAGGTAATTTTTGAACAAAAAGAAGTTGTCTTTTGCAAATTTTATACATTGTAAATTGCTGTGCTTTTGTCACAGTTTTTACATTACTTTTTCGAAACAAAGAAAGACTGTTGTTTTAACTTGATGAGAGTATCTTCAAATTGTACTTTTTGCTGGCATACTATATTTACGACTACGTTGCTGTCGTTATTATTAGTTTTACTACAATGGAGGTTCACCTCTGTTGTTGGATAGTGCATGACAGCATAAATATTTTATGTTGTAGCTTGACAATGATGTTATAAAACACATTGCCCATCTGATAAGTTGTGAAACTGACAAACGTAAGAACCTTTGAGTCATGTATATGTAGGGTGTGTAAAAAAACATTGTTTAGAAAACTAAAAAGACACAAAAAATTCATCAGGTGTGACCGCGTCAACGTCTGCTAATTGAGAACCTAAAGTCAATGTATGTTTATAATGGCAAGAAAAAATGAACGTCATCACCAAATTGCAGGATGACACTTAAAACAGGGACAAAAAATACCATCTTTCATCAGGAATAAAAAGCGTGATTGGTGCAGTGAAAATCACGCTTTGGAGTAACACTACGTATAACTGTGCCATTTCCTATTCCGACGGTAATTTTAAACGTATTAAAAAATGTCGCTCGTTATTTCAGCTACACGTCATGAAGTTTGTTTTAAGTTAAATAATCTCGCGTCCTTCTGTCGAAATAACTATTACTTTTTTCATCCATCCCTGTTCAGCTCCTTCTCCCAACTCGGAGATAACTTTCACTTTTTCTTGCCAATTAGCAGACGTTGATACCTGATGAGTAGCCTGCGGAAGTGCATCATGTTTTTTTGTTCATTAAAACATTTTTTCTTAGAACTATTTGGTTGATGTTTTTGGTTGTAAAAAAGTATGTTTTAGAACTCTTAGGTTATTTTCGCTATCCACCGTGGCAATTTGTATTTTTGAAAAAATTTTTAGACGACTTATTCACAAACCTGAAACGAATGAGCATTCAACACATTACTTTAGACTAATCAACGAAAAGAATACACAATTGACATCCACATATCCACAATTTTTTGTACACAAAATACGATGACGTCTGAACAAGACAGAAAATACGGAAAACCTGACGTTTGGTTCTCGCTTGATTCTGAAGATGACTGCTACTAAGGTTGTCGAAACGTCAGTCACTATCAACACCAACTGTCCTTCTCAGGACTCTACTAACCTGGACGATCTACATCTACAAAGATGTAGCACGTACTTTTGTTTATCGTGGAATTCAACAAGGATCATGGAGCATTCAAAACGAAAAAAAGAATATGCATTTACGTGTACTCGATTACCGAATAAGAGGATTTAACGATGCAACTGAAGATTATCTGTGTGTTGCTGATGCAGCATTCGCCGCTGTAAAGAGAGGAACAGTCAGAAGACCTTTGGAAGATGGTCACATAGGTGAAAGAGCACGAGGTGGGCTCGAAAACAGGAAAGTGAAAAATGAAACGAAGCAATAGGCCCAGGTCATTTCACAACTTATAACAAAACTGTTTCCCTGCATAGACATAACAAGCGAGGCTTATATGCAAGGTTAAAGGTAAGATTTATTTTTCACTTAATAGAACAGTAAAAATCGTAACAATTAATTATTCCAAAAACTTCTTGCTCATTTCAAAAGGAATTCTACCAGTTAGATCACAAAATTTTGCTTTGCCAAATGCTTCAAATCCTTTATTTGTGACGTAATGCGGCTGCGGATTTTCGTCTGTAATCGCTTTTAGGATAAACTCGGCTACTTCTTCTGGAGATTGAGCTTCAGCCGCCATTTTGGAGGTCTTTTCAATCAATTTTTCCCCAAGCACTTTCGTTGGGTCGTCATCTTTTAGATTCTCACTGCTAAATGTCATTTCACCACCTGTTGCTATACCGGCTGGTTGAATTGTTATCATACTGCAAATAAAAAAGTATAAAATGTATATTCGATAAACATATTTTGTAAATACTTGCTACAATGAAGAGTCTTTCGGTTTCTTGTCACGGATGTGCAGTGACGTCATAAATTACTTCCTACCCGAGCATTGACGTTATTACAAAATGTACAATCTTTCAATCTAGAGTTTTGAACAAATGTTCTGTTTTAAAAGAAAACAACGGCATAACATTTTAAAAAAAAACACAGACAAGGTGTTGCAATGTTGTTTCTACATTGCATCTACGTTGCTTCTACATTGCATCTACGTTGCTTGTACAACACTGTTTTATTTTGTAGACAGATGTAATAGGACCTTTTAAATATTGGAAAAGTAGACAAGATAGCAGAAATATTTTGTGCTACATATATAAACGCATCAAACGATATTCATTTTATAATAAGTTACCATGTTAATATTACTATATACAACAGTTGCTAATCTTTAGAGCACATTTGACATTAAATTATACGCTTCACTTATCAATAGCGCTGTAGAATATTTATCAACACAATGGTACATTCAACACAACTAATTGACAATCAATAACATTTATTCATGCCGCATAACAATCAAGAATATTAAAGGAGCATTAACGTGCATTCAATATAATAAAAATCAAACTCAGATAAAGCAAACATTCAAATAAACTTAAAGTTACTTTGTATGACAAAAAAGTGCGGTATTGTAGTTACAAGACTATCTGCAAAAGACTATTTCTGTTGAGAAGGACGTCTTTCGTTATAAATTATATATACCATTAGCTCATCATTTGAGCACATTGGAAATTCAATTACACTATTTGACTTATCAATAGCGCTGTGGAATGTTCAATAGCACGAAGGAACAATCAAGAGCACTAGTCGACAATCAATAACATATATTTACGATTGTGATAAAATGATCTCGTTTACTTTTTCGTCTGTAGGTGTACTTTTTAATGCATTTTAGTAGAGCTAGACCTTTTAGTTATATCAAGCGAAAATATGCACTATCTAGGTAATGCAATTAAACCAAGCTATTACACAATGTCAAGACGCATTATACCGGCAAAGACCAATATACCAGCCAAGTCCCATTATACATTTAATTCTAGAGCTCTTATTGAACCAGAAGCAGCGAGTAAGATTGAGTAATGATTATTTTCTGAATTGGGGTATCTTTCGCCAGGTGTAGCTAGGGAAAGCTAAATTGCAAACAAGTACATTGCTGACAATTTTTTTCGGTCAAACTGTAACGTGAAGCTCAAAATATAATGGTTGGATAGTCTATACCCCCACTCAAGAGATAAATTTAAAAAATTAAAAAACCTTGTTTTGACCTTAATTTGAGCGTACAAGTCATACTCAAAAGAATGTCGAAGAAAGATGCTAGCCAACCATTGATGTGCCTGGGATTCCTGAACCATCTAAGGAAGAGACGGCCGATCGAAAACGAAGATAAGTAAGTTTACGCTTGATGCAGTAATTGCAATTTAATGGCTGTTAATTTTTCTTGCTATATAAATTCGATATAACTTTAGCAGATTATTCAAGATTCTCTACATAAACCATCAATAAAGGAAACATGCTCTCGATGAGGAACTGCCAAGAGCCAGGAATACTTGTCAGATTTTAAGATAATTATCTTTTTCAATCATGTAACTAAATTTTATTACTATGGCTACTTTTTTTGTTGCAGTTTTCAGCATACTTTTTGCCGATACAGTGCATTCATGTGCAAAAACCTCATATAATAAGTTCATATGGCATGCTATTTTCCATGTTTACATTTTAAATATGCTGTGATATAGTTTCTTATATTTTTTCTTTGGTATTTTTTCTCTGCAGAGACTGACATTGTAGGAAAGTTAAAAAGATTTTCTTTCACTTATTCTTTCATCTCTGAGAGGTTGCCTCTTAACTGTATCCTCTTGTTTCAAACCAGTAAACTGCATGTCCACTTAAATAGTGCATACATATCTCTCCTACTTGGTCTTCATCAAGGCAATTTTTCTGAATTCAGCAAAGGTCAACAGTCTTTACACAAGTCAATAAACTTTTAAGATAGCCCTCTGACTCTGATGGTATGTATCCTTTTGTGTTACCACTTGATTTTGCTTTCCAAATAAAGTGGAAAACAAAAGCAGTTAAAGGTTTGACAAATTATTGTTGATGAAACAATGTTAATGAGAAAATTGTTGAACATTCTTACTATCTTACACGTCCATTTCTGTCTCTCAACAGTAGCACAAGATTTTCAAAAACAGCCTCACGGAGTAAAGGCTCAAATTTCGCATGTTGTATTATGCACGATATTTTCTCAATGCTGCCATCGAAAGTCATTTACAGAATTACTGCCAGCTTACAGAAAGCTGGTCCCATTTCCTTACAACACCTGTACTCTAATGCTGCTTCTAACAACTCAATATGGCAGCATTGACAAATACACCTAAAACGTCGGAGCATTGTGAGTTGTAAATTGACTTTAGGTATCTTATAAATAGGAGAAAACAGGAAGTAATGGAGCATATGTAAACTGTCACTTCGTTCCTCTCATGTTGAAGGCAGAATTCCATCTGGATGGTCTGAAGTGAGTACTTCATCACCAGCTTCTGCGAGCAGTACATCATCGCACGCGAAGTTATTTGATTGCTCGACACAACCAACGGATTTCGAGCTCGAATCAAAAACAGATTCAGACATCGATTGCGAATTGTCTGAGCAATGATTTGAAGCCATAAGTCTTGTGTAGTTATTCGTTTGTAAAACAAGAAAATCGACAATAAAATCACCTACGACAATAATATTATATTGACGGAGACAGACGTGTTCAACTATCTACGTCAACAGTGTCAATATGGCGTCGTAAAAAGTTCGCAAATAGTACCCAACTTCAGAGGCAAAATTAATGAACTTATATATATCTGTTTAAGTACATGTCATAGTCCCTCAAATAGTCCAAACTTTTAATTTAGCTAATAAAAAAAAAGGGGGGGGGGCTAAAATTCCTTGCATAAATACTTTAAATATATGGAACAGTCATATAAGGGTTCAAAGTTGGCATAAAATTTATTGAGAAATTAACTATGACCTATATATCAATTTACATAAGCTAAGAAAAAATTTCCTTTTAAAATAGTTAAACCATCCGATAACAGACTCTTAATATTAATAATAGTTACTTACTGAACATTAAACGTTGCAAGCTCAGGCGCCAGGGAATCCGAAATTCCTTCCAAAGCATATTTTGTTGAGGCATATGCGGTGACGAACGGAAAGGCATGTAATCCTACAACTGAGCTGATGTTAATGATGCGGCCTTTCTTGTTTTTCTTCATAGACGGAACAACAGCACGGATGACGCGCAGTGGGCCAAAGACGTTCGTGTCGTAGAGGCTTGTGATGGTATCCCAAGGCTGCACTTCGATGGCCCCACACCAGCTAATAGCAGCGTTGTTCACTAAATATGCAGTGTTATAACGAATAATGGAGCATTTAATATTGAAAACTTTTGATAATAATGTCAATGAATTTAACGAAAGTGCGTCAATAGCATTATTTTAGCACTTTGACATTTAAAATCAGGAATGTTGATTCAACTACGCGATGTCTCTATATTCTTAGATTTTAGACCTCGATCTTTCCTAGAATCGCTTTCTTGCAGCCGTAGTTCAATATTACATGTCTCACCTCCACATATCAGGCAACGAAAGCTGGGTAATAAGGGGTTAAAAATAACAAAACTCGCAGACAGCAGCATATGCACGTGTGGTAGTTTGCAATTCTCAAAATCATAAACTGCTTATACATATATATCTCAGCACCGGTGATGGGTCAACAACGGTTTTGTAGAAAGAGGGTGTCCTACTTTGGATTAAATTTTGTTAGCCATATTCAGAGTCAAAAAAAAAAAAAAAAAAAATTATATATTTATTATATACTGATATATTATGATGGTAGCTACATTGTATGGAAATCTGAACCCATGTAAACAATCTTACTTTAGAAATTCATTATTTACATGGTACATAATTAGTGAACTGTTTTCATTGCATAATTATCAAATTGGGGACAAGTAGCAAGGCTTCACGTGCCGTCCCTGATTTCGACTGATTGCTACAACACGCGCAACACTTCCAAACTTCCAGCGCGAGTTTGGATCGCCCTGGCGCGAAAAGATATGATGATGATGATGATTATCAAATTGGCTACACCACTGATTAACATAAAAATGAAATGTGTTACCTGACATGCATAGTAAAATTAAACTGCAAATATCATTAAATTCAATAACTATAGTGTGTGTGCAGTGTGCGAATTAGTTCAGAGAAAAGAATGTGCAATTGTTTTTGACAAAAGTGTTTCTTTAGAGGCATAATCAAATCGATATTGCGTTAATTATTATATAGCGCTAATTGCTAAATTAATATTTTTAAACGTGAACAAATTCATGATTTGCGACAGTGTTTTTCGTTAAAACCGCTGATTTTTGCACATCGTTTGAATAAGTGATTTGCAATTGTTTTCATTTTAGCTAAAACGATGTGCAAATTGCACATTGCACACCGTTAATTCGCACACTGTGTGTGTATTTACTACTGAAACAAATCATAAGACATCATGTTGTTCACATTTATATGAACAAACAATAATCAATTGTGAAGGCTTCACTTTGCTCAAGTGAAATACATGTAATGCTATTTCACCTTGTTTGTTTAATATTCACACAACAGTCGTGTGTTTATTTTGTTATAAAAACCTTTAGCAACGACAAAAGCATGCATGTGAACTTATAAATAGTTTGTTGCCTTAGGATCTTTTATTTGAAAATGCAAAACTGACAAAATAAAAGCACACAAAAAGCATGGTGAGTTGCAATTTAGTGAGGTTGGCCCCATCTTACAATGAAGTCTCTTATAAATTTGCAGTGCCAGAGCATGATACAATTGTATTCATAGCAAATCCCTTAGTGTACACTATTGCTCACAATTTGTGCAAGCTGTTTGGAAGCTGGAGTCAATAAGTTGTTTGTCTAGAAACATATATGATTGAGAACAATGATATCAATTGACATAACAGTTTGCAAAATCAGAAATAAAATAAGAACTGTTATCTCATTCAAAATGGCCACCTCATTTAAATTCTCATACTTAATGAATAATGAACAATTAATAATACCATCTCTAGTAGAGGAAAAGGTATGATATTCATTAATGATAAGACAATGATTATTAGTATTAACTATAGCAGTTCTAGTTCATAAATTATAATGATGCCTCTTTGTTGTTTCATGTACTGTGCCATACATTCAATAAACTGTAGCTTTTGATTTTACTTTCTTTCCACCCATTATGGATGAGACATTTTTTGAAGAGTGCTCCATTAAACACTGAGCACAATTGCCTTTGCTAGATTGTTTAGTATATAGCTAATTTGTATGGAAATTTGAACACATCTGACTTAAGCTGGGGAGGGGCACTTTCTACCACTAAATCCATCACTGAATCAACATGTGTTAACATCTTAAAAGGTATGTTGGCGGTTTTTATAAAATATCGATTTCATTTTTATGTCACTCAAGGGATTTTCTACATTAAGTCAGTCATTTTATTGAATTCTTTATTGGCTGCAAACACAATGCGTAGTAACAGCTTATCCAACATGCCAAACTTTAATACAAAATTTTCCAATTGCTTCTTAGACATGTTATTTTGTGCACAAGCTACATAAATGAAAAGTGCTTCTTGGTATTATATGTAATTCATATCATAAAACATCTTATTTACGATAAATTTTCTGTCATGAACCAGTAGAAGTCAATTATCTATTCTAACAATTCTAACAAAATATTTTCAATTCTTGCCTGCTGATGAAAACAACATTTTCCTAACTGCTTAGTTTTTTTATATATATACACCCAGTAAAAATGCTTAAGATGTCAACAGAGTCACTAATGTTTCAAGTGTCACAAATTAACATATTAGGTGTCTCTAATATGTTATTCAATAAAGTCACAAATGATTGAGACACTTAACAGTGTATTAATAATTCACCATAGGCGGGAAGGAAACAAGGTCATGTCATAATGTCCAAAAGCAAAATATTTATATTACGTACTTTTTACTCAACGAAAATTGATCGATGTATGCTGATGTACGTACTTGATTTTTTAAAATTATGAAAACCTAGATACAACTACAATTTAATCCATTGGCAGTGACCTTATTGACATTGTCTAAGATTAGTCTGATGTTATCAAACAATAATCTTGTATTTTAGTACACATAAGTTTGCTAAAGTTTAAGACTTGTGACCAAGTAAGACATGTAGTAAAAACAGTTGAGCAAATTATTTGCGAAGTCATAACAGACTGTACGATCGGGTAGTTATTCAATTAGAATAATTTGCAATTACGTAAAAGATAATGCCGTTGTTTGGGTTTGGCACACTTGAACATTTAAAACACATTGCCCCACTAATAAATACATGCCGTATTTTGCGCTTGCTTTTGTACATGTCTGAGGTTCATCGTCATGTGAATGTGATTAAACAATTTCTTTCGTAAACTTAAAACTAAGATTAAAATGGTACAAATTGTCAAGAATACTCGTAGAAATCGTACCAACAATATCGATTCTTCCTTCCTTTTGCAAAATGTGTTTAACAGCAGAGTTGACAGAATCTTCCGAACAAACATCAAGCTCGATTACAACAAGATTGCTACAACCTGCAATTTTCTTTTCGAGTTCACCTTTCTTGTTCGTATTTCTCATCGATGCGTACACTTTAAACTTAATTTCATTGGCTTGCTTTGCGAGCATCTCAGCCGTCGAAAGACCAAGGCCATGGGATGTTCCAGTAATAAGTACAATTTCTTCGATCATTTTTTTTCGTAAGATACACTTCGTTCCTTGGCCAAGCAAATGTAAACTGAGAGACTCGAACACTCAATACAGATCAGACAGAAACCACATTGCAAGTTAATTACAGGAAGCAACTGGTCACGTGTAATAAGCACGAGCAACGTCGTAGAGTTGTTTGCCTGTGATTAGTCATTAGGGAGCTTTAGCAAGAGTACGACAACGACAACGAGTACGAAGTTTGACCGTGTAAGAGAATGGCACGAGGAAGTTTGTTGTCGTTATCGCTTCGTTAAAATTTTGTTTTAGTTGTAAACAACAGAACGAGCCATTTTATTGTGTAAAACACCGACGTTTGCGAAGCAGCTACGGCTCTATTTGTCAATAATGATATCAATGAATCGGTAATACTGGTTTTGCGAGAATATAGGACTCTTTAGACTGAAAAATCTTCACTACTTTAAGTTTCATGTACGATACATTTGTACTATTTTATTGTTTGTTTACCTTTCACTTTGCGTACGAAATACATGAAAGTTTTGCAGGTCATATTTTCCTTTTTAATGTACATCTGCGCTCAAAAAGGGTTCTACATTAAAGCCTGGATGCTCGAAAATAGTACTGTAAACTAATTTCTTACAGAATGAAGAAAAATACCTACTTTCTTTGCTTAAAAAGACATCGTTGTCGCGACTACGAACTTTTTACAAAACATCGTACTCAAATTGATGACGGCTACGTGTTTTTGTTGTCGCAACAATGTTTTTGCGCCAAAATGACGTAATCGTACTCGTAGTCGTACTCGTAGGCTTTGCTAAAGCTCCCTATTAGTGCAGCTGTTAATGACAAAAAACCACCTAACCCTTCACTTTGATGATACAAGTATCAAACTTTCTCACATTCATATCAGTGAACAGAACTCAGTGATTAGAACTCAATATAGTACAGCTGTTAATGACAAAACTCTTCACTTGAATGCTACAAGTATGAAACTTTCTCACATTCTTACTATGCCTAGAAACACAAAATTTTGATATAGAGCCAGCCCATATTTACATTTAAAACGAGTTCTGCGAATGTCATGTTTCATGACGTCGTCGGTAGTAAAAAAAATAAAGTTCAGAGAGATCTGCAATTTCCCTGTATATTCTTATACAACAGCTAAAGACGATCGAAAAACTATATTACAACTTTTGCTTATGAGCAATAAATTCTGAAATATTCTACATTAAAAGTGTTTTAAAAGTGCTGACTCAGCATTTTTGTTTAATGTTATTGCTCTTTCTTAAATACATTGGAAAATCGCCTAACCAAGAACAGTAATATTAAAAATGATTTTAATGCCCTCATGTTATTGACAATCACCCCACAATTACACCAACGAGTAGAAACTAAGTGTGCTTTGACGCATTTACAACGATCGGAAAGTTGAATGTTAGCATGTCATGAAAGTTGACAATGGAGAAGCTAAAGAATTTCACATTTGGAAAGAAGATATGTCAAAGGATCATCCACAGTTTCTGTATTGGACCAGAGTTTTGGAACTAGAATTACTCTGTTTACAACTAGTGCAATCATTTAGAGAAGCTAATTTCTCCTTATACTTCCAGTCAATTAAGCAACTTGTCCCGTGGATGTTTGCTTTGGACAATGTTAATTATGCAAGATGGCTTTCTGTCCATATCCGTGATATGTCGGAGCTTCCATTCAAACATCCTGACGTCTTTCACCTGTTCTCTAAGGGCTCGTATGTGGTGCATAAAACGAAGAAACAGTTTTCAGCTATAGCATCAGATCATGCTCACGAGCAAATTAATGCAGTGGTAAAGGGAGAAAGTGGTGCTGTGGGACTAACCGAAAACCTTTCAGCTTTAAGGAGATGGATGATTGCAGGAATAATTAGGGAATTCGAGATGAGTACACATGTAGACAGTCAGCTACACCATGAGCAAACTCCATCCATTCAAAGAGAATTTTATAAAGATGTCTCAAATGTCGTCTCCAATTTTCAAGCAATGGGGAATCCTTTTGTAGAAGAGAGCGAAGACCTATTTGCCATCCACACAAATGACGTGATGAACAGCTCCGTTGTTGATACGGTGAAGAATGTTGTAACCCTTGGAGAAGAACAATATCAAGCATTTGTTAAAGAATGATTTGTTGAGGGAAGCAAGAGTATTACTAAAACGTTGAAAAAGAATAATCTGCCAACGTTTAAAACAGGAAGAAAAAGAGGTTCGTCAAAAGATAAAGTAAATGTACAAACTCTGAAACTAGACTGTGCCTTATTCTCAAGATTGTATATATCCAGTCAAAATCGAAGTGGTGATCTCGATGATTTCTTTAAATATGAGAACCAACCATGGCCACCATCTCTCTCACAAGCAGGAAGTTTGCGTACTGGTAATAAAGAAGACTTGACAAAGTATATCGAGCCGACTACCAAAGTTCAGTCACCAACTCCCGATCTTATTATTTTAGACGGGGCTGTTGTTGTTCAAATAATTTCACCTGGAACTTGAGAAACGTTCGAAGAGTACGCACAGTTTGCTTTCATTCTTTATGTGTTAAAGCAATTTCAATTAGCTAAAAGAATTGATTTAGTGTGGGATGTATACAAAGAGGATTCGCTGAAAAAAAACGCACGGGAGAAGAAAGGCTTTGGTCAACGCCGCAAGGTTTCGTCGATAGCACGTATCCCTATTGACTGGAAGGGCTTCCTACGCGTAGATGCCAACAAAATGGATCTTTTCAATTTCTTAGCGCAGAAAGTTATTTCCCAGAAGATTCCAGAAGGAAGAGAGATTTACTGTACATTCGAAGAAAAGGTCTTGTGCTTCCCTAAAAGAACCGAAGTATTAATATTGGAACCATGTAATCATGAAGAGGCTGACACACGATTGATGGTGCACGTGTTAGATGCAAGTGACTGCGGCCACCAGAGGATTTTTGCAAGAACAAATGATACTGACGTATTGATACCTGCCATTTCAATTGTGAAAAACATCAAAGCAGAAGATTTATGGATTTTTATGGTACAGGAAAGCACTCGCGTTATATTCCCGCGCATACAATTGCATCGACTATCGGACCTGACAAGGCATCCGTTCTACCGTTGTTTCACGCTTTTACGGGGTGTGATTCTGTTTCCATTTTTGGAGGTCGAGGAAAGAAAACTGCATGGGATGTATGGAATGTATTTCCAGAGCTAACATTAGCGTTGCAAGAGCTAAATTTGTTGCCAGAAAGGATTGATTGTTCGTCCTTGCAGGTAATTCAGAAACCGCCAAAGGCATGTATTATTTATCAAACAAGGTCTCTATTATGATTCATATAATGTTTTTCAGGTGATTGAGCGATATGTGGTCTTCTTATACGATCGTACAAGCAATCTTACCAGAGTCAATGAAGCTAGACAAGAGTTGTTTGCAAAAAGTCCAGAACACTGGATAACATTCCACCGACCCAAGAAGCGTTGTTTCAGCACACCAAGTGTGCACTCCGTCAGGTTGGGGCTGGTACCGTGATGAAAATTCTTGGTTACCAAAGTGGACAAATCTCCCTCAAGTTAAAGATGCCTGTTATGAACTTATTCGTTGCGGATGCAAAAGTTCATGTTCTAGTCGTTGTAAATGCGTCAAAGCACACTTAGTTTGTACTCGTTTGTGTAATTGTGGGGTGATTGTCAATAACATGAGGACATTAAAACCATTTTATATTACTGTTCTTCGTTAGGCGATTTTCCAATGTATTTAAGAATGAGCAATAACACTAAACAAAAATGCTGAGTCAGCACTTTTAAGACACTTTTAATGTAGAATATTTCAGAATTTATTGCTCATAAGCAAAAGTTGTAATATAGTTTTTCGATCGTCTTTAGCTGTTGTATAAGAATATCCAGGGAAATTTGCAGATCTCTCTGAACTTTATTTTTTTTACTACCGACGACGTCATCAAACATGACATTCGCAGAACTCGTTTTAGATGTAAATATGGGCTGGCTCTAAATCAAAATTTTGTGTTTCTAGGCATAGTAAGAATGTGAGAAAGTTTCATACTTGTAGCATTCAAGTGAAGAGTTTTGTCAATAACAGCTGTACTATATTGAGTTCTAATCACTGAGTTCTGTTCACTGATATGTACATTACACTGGATAACGATTCGTGTATAAATTATAGAAGATGACAGCAGCCGGATGTCGGTCCATTATAATATATTTTTGTATTGCAAAATCACAGTTTTTCTGTTTTTGTACGTTCTACAAACTTTCGATTCGAGCAAAATTTTTGTGAAAGGGAGAGAACAACCGGCAAATATGTTTAATTCTAAAAAGTTTGTCTTCTTTGCTTCATAATGGCAGAAAATTGAGATAGTACAAAGTCAACCTGCATTGTTTTGTAAGAAACTGGAGATTATATAATGCTGCTGCTTCTTAAAAAATGTAGAAATATTACAGAATCCTGCTACTGCTACCAAATTTTCATCTGCAATGACGTTTATGGAAGATTGCTACAAATTTACTTATTTAACAACACTTTGTTATTCACATCGCGATTATCATAATAATTTCAAATTACGTCTTTATTATATGAGTGAAGAAACAAAACAAATCGACATAGAAAAATAGTCAGGAAGAAATTTTGATGAACAATAGTAAGTTGAAAACGGTATCATCAAACTCTACGAGATGTACATCATCAAATTATGCAATATAAAGTACCTCTGTTGTCATTAAGCGAAGCAAAGTTTTCAATCAATATGTGAACAACTTCAATATCGATGAATATGTTGAAGATATGAATACCTTTGTTCTTACTTTGTTGTAAATTTGTAATTTAAGTATTCATCTTTTAAAAATGCCTCGCACGGCTGAAATTGTCCTCGTCACCTTCAACTTTCATATTTCAATACAACTTGCCATCTTATTTTTCAGTCGTTACAAAGCCAAAAAAACAGACCTTCAAGGTTAAAACTCTCTACCGGTTTTCCTCTACATGTTATGAAAAATTTGCCTTAATCAGAAGTTTTTAAAAGGAAGAAAAACGCGAAAACTGTGATTTTGTAATACAAAAGTATAGTAAAGTGAGACCCACCCATGAAGCCAGTAGCAAATGATCGACCTTCCGGCTTTTCCAGGGGAAAAGGGGTCTGGAACCAGTTATCAAAAACATGGCAGCGAACATTGAAGTAAATATGTCTGGAACGCTAACTCAGGGGATGAAATTGAAGCCAATGTTGAAGCTATTTTTGTAAGTAGACCCAGTCCTTTATAAAATATTTTTACTAAAGTTGTTCCTATTTTGACTGTATCATTTTGGCACGAAAACCCCAATTATATCACCCAAACGCAGTTGTTATCAGTAGTATAACAATCAAATTTGATATTTCCATAGTTAGCAAGACAGAAGTTTCAAAAAAATGTGGTAAAAACATGACAAACCACTTTGACGTTCTGAAAAACGGCGCATTTTTTACTACTTTTTCTGTGTTTTTGAAAGTTCTGGAAAATTCAAGATTTCAAACCTCAAGAAATAGTTAAAACAATGTAATATACCTCTGTTTGGAAAGTTTCGAAACGATTTAACTTTCTGGGATTGAGAAAAATGTATTTAAAAATTGACGTAAATATTGTTAAAAGAAAAACAAACCTTTCTTAGATGACATATAATATATTAATCCTACAGGGATTGGAGACGAGTCATTAAAAACTGAAGTGGAAGAATCGCCACAAAAACGAGATTGTTGTCTCATCATTGATGCCATGTCCATAAGAAAACAAACATTGTGGGATCCAAAAAAAGAGCAATATTCAGGTTTTGTAAATTAAGGTCCAATATCATCTGAGGATCCAGAAACTCTTGCATCAGAAGCAGAGGTTATCATGCTTGTAGGAACACGCACACGATGGAAGTGTCCCATAGAGTATTTCTTGGCTAATAAAACAACTGCCAAAACACAAAAACAACTGGTGAAAATAGCCTTGAGCAAAGCAGCTGATGTGGGATTAAAGGTATGGTCAATAACTGCTGATGCCACCGCAGTTAATCTCGGCACTTTTACTCAGTTGGATTGCATGTTTGGTACAACGTGTGACTCCATGATGACAATGTTCAAGCACTTATCACAAAATTATAATGTCTATCTACGTAATAATTGATCCATGTCACATGATAAAACTTGCAAGAAATGCACTTGCTAGCTTGAGTTCATTTCACGATCATGATGGTGGTGAAATTAATTTGAAATTCTTTCATCACTTGCGTAAGCTTCAAGAAGATGAGGGATTGAATTTGGGCAACAAGTTTTCTGCTCGGCATCTAGAGTACACAAAACACAAATGGATGTACGATTAGCTGCACAAACTCTGAGCTCATCTGTGAAAAATGCAATCGAATGTTTGGATGTTTCAATGAAACTCACCAAATTCAAAAATAGTAAGCCTACAGTGAAGTTTACAAGAATGATCGACTGTGCATTTGACATTTTTAATTCCAGATCTCCTCAGGCAAAGAAATACAAATAACCTCTGAAAAGCAAATCTGAGGACACATGGGTGTCTTGAGAAGATAACCTAAAATCTACAACTCTCCTTGGTTGTAAAACAGAGAGAGATTAAAAAGCAAAAGCTTCTCTCTACGCATAAAAGAAAAACATTCATTATTGGCTTTGCTGCCACGATAAAATCAACCGTTGTTATGGCAAATGAAAGGTTGCACTTAAAGAAATTCCCTTTAAATATGTTTTGACGTACAAGTTTTCCCAAGAACACATTGAATTGCTGTTCTCATGTATAAGAAGTAAAGGTGGCTGGAACAACAATCAAAACAGTTTGCAGTTAAAATTTGAATTAAGAATAAATCCTTTATGAAATGCAGTGAAAGCCTCAAAAAACTATAACTGTATAAATTTTTCAGAAAGATTTTCATCTGAAATCGTCCTAATTTTTCACACCAGAAAACACCAATCCCACTGATTCAAGAAAAAGCAGGCAATGAGTTATTTTCACCCTAACAGAGCAGCTTCTAGTTGAGAAGTTAGCAGAAAGAGGACTTTCAGAATTTATGGAAAACATTCTTTTTTACATTGGCGGAATTATAGTTACCAAGTTGATAGAATTGATTACCTGCACAGCTTGTAGAAGTTGTCTCATTTCAAGTGCTTCACCGTCTTCAATCGATCATAATTATTGTGATACAAAAACTGTACACTATTCTGATAACCCAAAAGCCTCAGCATTCACATTATTTATCAACAGAGGAGGACTAACCATTCCATCACCATCAGTCTTTGCCGTCATCAAATATCCCGAACATATTTTTAATGCGTTTGTTACCGAGAATGGACATTACATCAACTCCAGCCAAAACCTACGATGTAAAATGATCATGGAAGTCTGTCATCATTTCATCACCGACAAATCAAGTCATTTAAACATCTTTGATGGACATACTCCTGAGTTGAGCGATGGCTTTGATGAAGACCACAAGATGAAATTGATTAAGTACACTGCCGACAAGTATTTCACCCTTCGGCTCGTCACGTACGGCAAGCGTTTTAATGAAACGGTTGCTGCTGATGTAGGTAACGGTGTCGCTTTGAATGGCGGCAACTTCCGGGCTAACTTTAAATAAAATTTCATCGCAATAGAGAACCCTAACTTTAACTTTTTTTTCGCCAGTCGCCGCCATCTCTGCTCGGGCGCCAAAGACGTTACGATGATGCTTTCCCTCGCTGACATCCTGGCTTCGCCAAGGACATTGATTCAGCTTTCATAGGTATAAAGTTCAATCTGAATCTCACTTGCGCTTCTGCTGAAAACTCGCTTCATGATGGAAAATTTCAGATAAAACATCTTTCACTCTGGGTTCCTTTCATCAGACCTTCGATCGAAGTTCAAACCATGATAGAGGCAAGTTGGTTGCTGGTTACACACGCATGCTTTACTTTGAGCAAGGTCGTATTTACCGAGAGAGATTCACCAGAGGTCAAACCAACGTCTCATGGCGTGTGACGACAAACGGAAGTGAAGAGCTACCAACAAACATCTTCGTAGCGTTCCAAGATGCAGAGCGCTCAGACAATCAAGAACGAACTATACATGTGTTTGATAATGCTAATTTGCGTCAGATTAATGTGCGGATTAATAACAATCACAAGTATCCTGTAGAAGAGCTTGAAGTCAATTACACAGATGCTGAAGAAATTACAGCAGAGCATATATGATGTTCCAAGACGCAGCGATGAAATACAGCGACCCGGATACAGGCTCTCAAGTAAACTTAGGAGACTTCGCAACCCTATTTCCTATTTACCACTTTGATGTTAGTCATCATCATGAAGCTTTGATAAAAGCTCCGGCAAACATTGATGTTCGTTGGATCTTAGGCGGCCCTTTTAATAGTGCTATTAATGATGTTGGTGAACAGGCGTACCACGTGTACTGCTTCGTGCTTAGCGAGCGTTTCCTTCGGCTCAATGCGATTAACAGTAAAATGGATATAATGGTTTAGTCTGTTAGTCTGATGTGATGATTAGTCTGATGTGATGATTAGTCTGATGTGATGATTATTCTGATGTGATATGTTGATATTTAAGATTAAAAACAACAAAATTTTTTCGACTGTATACATACGCAAATTGTTTGCATGTGCACAAAATGTCGGACATTGATAACGCAATATTTGTTAAAGCTCTCAGACCCGCCATGGAGCTAGTAATCACTAACGAATTGTGTCGCGATTCGACGGGGTAGGGTCGGAGTTCATAGATATCAAGGATCGTAGAAAGATTTAAACGAAATTTGTCGGAGCAATTTCTCGGTTACCAGTATCATCGCGAGCTGGCTAAGCCCGGAACTCGGAACAAAGAATGGGTATCAAGATTAACTGAGGTGGTTAAAGCGCTTAATAATGAAACTACACGTTTGACGGGCGGAAAGCCCTCCCTTGCGATTCGGAGAAAGAGCGTTAAGGCCAAACCCGCTGAGCCAGCGCTTCGTACAGTTGGTTTCAAAGAGCGACGCTTGCCATCGGATTTTATGGTGCGGTATTTGTATGCCGCTGGCGAACTCGAGGGTGGCGAACGGCGTAGGGAGACCGATCCTATCTGGAGTGTG